TGCAATTAATATTATGATTCGATGTTTTTTAATTGCTCTGCCCCAGGAAGGATGGCTCAGGGTGTGCGTGCGTGTGCATGCCTCTGCACATACATGCACTGTATTTGTTCATAGTGATTATCTTCTTGTGGTAGGCCTGAAGCCACATGCATGGTAGCATGGGGTATATTGCGTGTCATTCTTTATGAAATAGATAATGGGCCTTGGGCTGATTTCCATGAGTGCTGACTGATTTTCATTGAACCATTTTAACTTTTTAAGTCCCTTCCTTTAATGACTTTTGTCAAGTCATTATAAGACGTTAACAACAATGTATGTCTCCAGGTATTTTGAAGTGTCTTTATGGACACCATGTCATTGGAAATCACAACAGCTGAGGAAGGCAGGTGTTTTCATATCTCTTCTTCGGATGGGGGCAGGGGCAGTGGGTTAAATTCCCTGTCCATGCCCCCGTGGCTCACAGGGGCCAGCCAGGATGAGGGAATAGGTTCTCGTCTCCATTCCTTGCTTGTTCTACACAGAGCCAAGGGGCTTCCCTAGTCCAGCAGTCACACCTGTCCTGTAAGTGTGTGACTTCCAACCAGCATTTCCCTATAGCAGGGAGGTTGCTCACCTCCCTGTGCTCAGCTCTGCTGAGGATGTACGTTAGATCTTAGGAGTGGAGCAGGCACAGTAAGACAGGGAGGCCACCGGCAGTAATCCTGGCTGTCCTGTCACGACTTAGTGATATTGCTTTCCTTTTTGAAATCTGAAGTTTTCCATTTGTATCTGCCTCTTCATCTGTCAAGAATGGAAAGTTTCTTCCCAGGCCTGGCAAACATAAAGCCACTGTGAGCTGTGGGCATGTGTCCAGGCCTTTCCAGAAAGCCTCCCTCCCTGGCAGGCTGATAAACACTCTGCTGATTAGGAGGGCAGGGGTCTGCCTTGCGCTTTATTGTGCCGTTTGTGTGTGTCTTTCCCTTCTGTTTCTTCTTCCTCCTCCTCCTCCTTCATTCCTCTTTTGTGTGAAATTGCTTTTTCTGGCTAATTCCCAGACTGAGTTTGCAGGGAACTTTCAAAGCCTTTTCAGGCTGAGCTGCAGGAAAGTCACTGTCACAAAGGGCAAATGAATGGATTACCAGCGCTAGTTAATAATACCAGACTGAGGAGGACAGAATGTGCACCTGAGGGCAGGTCCCATCTGGTCTAAGGTCCCTACTCAAATTCCCCTAGTCCTTCTAGGGCTTTTACTTTCCATGGAAAGAAGCTCCGCATAGTGAGCCCCATAGAAATGCTCACATGCATGTACAGAGATGGGGAAAGGATACCCATTCGATAGCTGCTTGTAATCATGGGAACTTGAAAATAACTTGAATATCTGCCTACCAGTAGAAGGCTTCTTAAGTGAATTATGCCGATTCCATGCAGTGGAACACTAGGTGAGCATGAGGCACAGGAGAGAGATGTAGAGAATGGAGTGTCTAGAACATTCTAGAACACTGAACACTCTGTTCAGTGAAAGAGCTCATGCTGGGGTCAGCAGGTGGTTTGGTGGTTAAGGCGGTGGACTCCCACATGGTTGACCATGGTTTGATTCCTGGACCTGGTAGTGTGGCTTTCTTCCTCTCACTCGTGAGCCCATGTGCCCTATAGCAAATTAAAAAATAAATAATGATAAATAAAATTAAATAATTAAAAAAAAAAGAAAACCCATGCTAACTTAAATGTACAGGTGTATACTGAAATACATATACATACTCATCAAAAGGTCTAGAAGGACATACTTTAAGCTGGTAACAAAAGGTCATGGGAATGGGTTTAGAATGAAGAGAAAATAGGTATTTTGCTTTTTTGGTTTATGTATAGTCTTAAGATTTACTTCTTGGCAACAAGTATTGAGTTTTATAATTTTGAAATTATTGGGTCATCAGAAAAGTCATGACGCATTTTTGCATAGAAAAACCAGAAAAATATGTCATGGCTTTTGTGATGACCCAATAATTAGGGGCAGTTAAGGATTAAATGACATGTTAATATCATTGGCTTTTACCTGTAATTGTGGATTTCTGTGAAATGCTAAGCGGTCATTAGATTGTCTCATTGTTAGAAGATGCTCTTTTTGACTTTTTTGTGTGATATGCATGCTCACTACTCCATATTTGTTTTATGTCAGGCTCATCTTCTTACTGAAATATTAAGAAATATTGAAAATAGTAGTAACTGTGAGGTTAACTTAGCCCTCTTTTGAGAGGTGCAAAACTGCTGTTCTGTGATAGCCAGCCTGTTGACGCAGGGGTCAGGGTCTGTGTACTGCCAGCTGGTCACTCCTCCTGTGTGCCCACCACAGTTCTGAGCTCAGTGCAGGTCAGAGAAAGAGGAAAATTACTCCTTAAAAATCGTATCTATTATATAAAAAAAGTATTAGAATGTCGTGTCATCATTTTCTTTTTAAATTTGTGATTTTTAGTTTTGGAGAAGCAAGGAGAAATAATGAATGCTGTGTATGAGCCCTCAAAAAATAAAAGTCCACTTGCCAGATAGTGGCAGTACAGTAAAACATGAAGCTCTGTGAGGCAGTCTCACATGGGAAAGGACCTGGTTCAAGTCCAGAGACCTCTCTGAGTATACCAGCGACATGCTTGCCCAAGACTAGGGATGGATTATGGCATCAGTACTACTGGGATTCCTGTTTCTTTGTCTCTCTCTCTTGTTCATGTAAAATATAAATAACTGAAATTCAATAAGCTTCAAAAAACAAATGGATTAAATTTAAGTCAATTGATTTTATTTGACTCATATTTTTAGTTCATCCCAGAGCCCAATTAATTTCTTCTAGCTTTCTAGAAGGAAATGAACCTTTTGTTTACAGTTTTATTTGGGATTTGGAAGGTTTTGAATGGTTTCTATGACTTTTTGTTTGGAGTTTTGTGTCATCTGCTTTAATGTAGATAATGGGGTATTCTAGTCCAGTGCCTTCATGTCCGCTCAGTGGACTGGGATGTACACTGGTGAAGTACACTGGCTCACTAACGGGGACATGCAGCACATTTGCCCTCTGCTGCTACTTCCATTCCAAAAGTGAAGTGCTGAACTGACCTTAGTTATATTTGTGCCTCAGTCAGAGGCCACCTCCTTGATCTGAAATGTGGCTGTGAAAGTTAGAAACACCTGTGAAGAGCCTGCAGTTTCATTTATAAGGATAATAACAACTTTTAGTATAGTTATAGTTTGTTCATTAAATAGACAATTTGTTTGAAGCAAAACTAGGTGATGACAATAATTTTTAAATTTCCTGAAAGTATTTTTTGGATGAAAAATGTTGGCCTGCATCCCCCTTGGGGGGATGATTTCTCGCTTTCTGTCTTTCTGTCACTCTCTGTCTCTCTGGCGAGTGCATGTGCCCTATAACAAAAACCTCTCAAAAAAACCCTTTTTTTTTTTTTTTTTTGCCTGTTTAGTCTTCAACTAAAACAAGATATTGTATCTCTATCAATAAGACATGCATTGTGGGGGCCAGGTGATGGTGCAATAGTAACACAGCTGGACCCACATGGGACGGATCATGGGTTCATGTCCTGAGACCTCCCTGAGCATGCTGGGCATGCACATATGGGGCCGTGATCCAGGCCAGCTGGGGGTGGATCACAGTGTGGGGACCCTGTTGGGAGTGCCTCTCATGCTCTCTTTCAAGAAGTAAACTTAACAAACAAATAAAACATGCACTAATTAATTTGCAATCCATGTCACCTTCTCAAGCCATCATCAATGAATATGCCTCTTACCTACTGGGTAGGAGTAACTGATGGTTAATGGAAGAAAGCTCTGTATTCTCCCAGGGACTCAGCCCCGCCCGTGCCCAACCCAGGAATGTCTGTGATGTCCTCTTAGAATATGAAGCACAGGCTGATAGCACTCAGGGCACTTTACTGTTTTGTCATCCATCTGTTTCTTCCCTTGAGTGAGGGCTGCCCCTAACCCAAAGACAGCATGTTTGTGTCATTAGTAACATGTCTGGAGGATCATGCACATGTAATAACCCTGTCCTCTTTTGTGTCCTGGGACTTCGTTTCTCCCATGGTGGATAGTGTGGCCATGAAGCCATTAGAGGAAATCATCCTCACAGTGGTTTTACTTATCAGGTTTTTCTCTTTGTCTTTCCAAGACCTAATTCTCTACCTTACTATGTCTCCCATTTAACACATGTCCTCCTCACTGTGATTGCTTTAAGTTCGTTTATTCCTCCACGAGCTAGAGATCAAGCACCTTCCCCAGAGTCCTGATGCCATGATCTACCCCCAGCCTCTGCTAGCCCTGTGTCACAGCCAAGTGTGTTCCTGGCATACTTGGGGAGGTTTCCAGACAGGAACCTGGAACCTCCCCATGTGGATCAGCCTCCTAGTGTCGTGTTTTACCACAGTACCACCATCTGGCCCCCCTCCTCATTATAATTTGAGAAACAAGAGGATAGTTGTATAAGAAAATTTTTAGTGTTCCTACTGAAACCCTGATCATCTTTGTAAAATTAAATTTATGCATTTATCTTTTCTAAGCCCTGGTATTTCCTTTCAGCAGCTGAATTTCTGGCCTACCGACCGTCATTTCCTACAGTATCAGGATGGTAGATTTTTGGTCTCTGATTTGAGCAAGTCCAGAATTGCAAAGCGCATAATCCCATTGTGTACAGATTGCTTTGAAGTTGGTTCAAGACTCACAAAATCTCCTTTTCCTCTGTCCTTTTCTGTACTGTGTGGGTTTTTCCAAAGTCTATGTTCCTTTTAAAAAAAAAAAAATCTTGTCAGTGTCTCCCTCCTTCTCCTCCAGCCATCATTTAAAATAATAACGTGTATTCAGCTTGTTTTCAAGTGCTTTAAGTTCACTGGTGGTTCCAGGAACTTTTGGCTGCATTATCTGTCGACCATTTGCCCAAGTTTCCCTGGGCACGCCTGAAGTCGGCCCGTGTCCAGCGCTCGCTTTGGGGCCCACAGCAGCTGGGTGTAGCGACTCTCCATTTCTCTCTCCAGTGCCATTGCTTCCATCCTGAGGGCCTGGCTGGACCAATGTGCAGAGGACTTCCGAGAACCGCCTCACTTCCCTTGCCTACAGAAGCTGCTGGACTATCTCCGCCGGGTGATGCCAGGCTCTGACCCAGAGAGAAGGGCGCAGAATCTTCTCGAGCAGTTTCAGAAGCAAGAAGTGGAACCCGACAGTGAGTGCTTGTTTGCTCACTAGATTCTGATTCTCCAGCCGTCACGTTGGAGAAATGCTCTCTGTACAAGATGGGTAGGAAACCTGGGTACCCTCAGAAGGGCAGGCTGCTGGAGGACTGGCGTGGGTAAAAATACTTGCAGTTACTGAAGTGGGAGGTACAAAGCCTTCAGGTTTTAGAGCAAAGAAGCGACTTTTTAACACTATCTAGTCTGACTCCCTCACTTGATAGATGACGAAACTAGAGAAATGGGAACAGAGGAGGTAAGTGATTTCTTAGGATTTCTATTACCAAGAAAAAGAGGGTCTCCTCGATGGGTTCCCTCTTCCCTTGTCAACATATACTGGGCTGAACCTGAGTTTGCTTTCTACTGTCTGCCTAAAGACTCCTCCTCCTGTCAGATGTGAACCCGTGACAGCCACCCCCATCTAGCAGGCAAGGCTTTCAATCCAGTTCTGTTCCTGCCCTCATGAGAGCTTGGACAATGGGTTTGTCCTTCAGCCTAGAAAGCGTCACTGTAATCTGTCCCCTGCCACCCCAGATCACCGTCACTGAGTGCCTCTAATGGCCTCATCATCAAAGGAAGTTTCTGTGGCTGTTTTTTCCTATTCTAAGGATGACTGCCTACTTTCAGGGACAAAGGAAGGACTTCCACTGCAGGTCGTAGGGTGCTCGGAACTATCAGGCTTTGAAGCGAATTGGAAAGAGGCTTGGACAGGCTTCCAGGGGTGCCCTGGCTGTTGCCATGGCGGCTGACCCACTTGGAGCTCCTGACAGGCATTTCCCTGAAGTGACGCCTGATTTCCTCCGGAGGGAAAGGAAACGGTTCCCCCTCGCAGATAAGGAAGTAGCATCTGCTCCAAAGAAAATAACCTTAGATTCCAGACAGTACCTGCTGGATTCTCATATGCTGGGGACCAGAGGAGGGCAATGCGGTTGCATCACTAGACGCCGACTGCCAAATACTCTGTGTCACGGGTGACTTCATCTGCGGGGAATGCTTGAATACCAGGACTCGCTCCTCCAGCTGCCGCCGCCTGGCTTTGTGCTGGAGCCCCGTTCTTCCCACCGGGGGTGCCCCTGGCTTCCTGCCTAATTGGGGACCCAACCGGTGGGACCAGTCGGTCCTTGTTTCTACCCAGGAACGGAGGCTGAGCTCTTTGGCAGGCTGCAGCAGGGAGAGGCAGAGGCTGAACTTGAGAAAAGCTCTTAGGCGATACCCAAGAATGAAATTTTTCCAGGTTTGGAAAATTTTAATCAAGAGAGCTCTAAACTTTGTTGATGGAGTACAGGAATCCTGGCCGAAGAAGAGTTTAGCAGCTTGGTTCCTGTGTGCTTATCTGGCCTCATCTCATACCAGCAAAATCAACAAGCTCTTCTATATGTTTTTCTGAAGTAAAATTGGGCTTGAAGTTTTCACTTACCTCTGGAAGACAGTCAAAAGCAAAAACAGTGAAGGCACAGACTAGGCCCCAGAGAGAAAGGACCATGTACTGACCATGTAATTTCATGCACGGCAACAGTGTAGACTCATATTGGGCCATTATGAATGTTTGTTGAATGAATGAATGAAAAGATCGAGCCTTAACACATACACTCCTTGGCTGAAGTGGGTCAGCCTCTGCTTTGCAGGGTGATCGGAATAAACATACTCAGTATCCTGTATTCGAAATGCCTGGTACCAGAGATGTTTCAGACTTGGGATTTTTTTCAGATTTGCATAATATATAGTGAGATCTTTGGGAGATGGGACTCAAGTCTAAACATGAAATTTATTTATCTTTATATATATATATACCTTATACACGTAGCCTGATGGTAACTATATACAATATTTTTGTATTAAAGTATTTGACTACAGTCTGTCATATTGGATCTGGTGTGAAATTTTCCATTTGTGGTGTCATGTCAGTGCCTAGAAAGCTTTGGATCTGAGAGCACTTTGGATTTTGGAGTTTTAGATTAGTGATGCTTTATCTGTACTTACATAGTAGCTAGTAAGAGATGAGAAGACCATTCTGAATCTTTGTTTGGGAATCCCAAATTTCACATTCCTCCACAGAATGAGAGAATACCTCAGTAGCATGAAGAAAAAGTTTTGAACTAGGATAGCTCACTGCCCTCCACATCACGGGGTTTTAGATTTCTTTAGCTCATATCTGTTTCCCAGACTCCCGGAGGCAGGCTATGATCCCCTCTGACCTTTTCCAGTCATAACTCAACCCCATATGCATCAGGCCCTTCAACCCTGGGTCAGGGGCCATCCTTAGGTCACGTGCCTGTGACTAGAGTGGACAAGCGCCACATGCTGCTGTGGTAGGGAGGTAGTGCAAGGTCTACTATCAGCACCTTTTTTCCCACAGAAAACTAAGAAAAAAACCAGTGCAACTTGATCCAAGATATCCGGAAGTATTTTATTCGACAAAGAAAGAGAGAAAAGGCTTAAAATATAAACATTCTGGGGCAGTAGTAACACACTGATTTAAATTTCTGCTAAGATAGAACTGAATGCAACCTGATTTTTTTTCTCTGAGCACAAGTTTGACAGGAAGGAGAGCAAGGAGTAGAGTGTGAAGGAAGGCGAGGTTGGGAAAGAAGCCAGGGGAGGGAGGCGAGGAACTCGAGTCAGTCTTCACCTAGTTTCAGACTTTCCAGATGGAGACTAGAGGCCCTATTTCAGGTGCCAGGCCCTTCTGCTTTTCATGTGGTATGCTGGGTAGTGATTTTCTCTCACTTCTTAAGGCAGAGTCCTGTATAATTAAGGATCTTGTCTATAATAAAGCTCAGGTCATTAGTTTAAGGCTATCTCCCCATCCCCTTGCCAGAGGACACCAAATTGTAGAGAGACAGAGAGTGACATAACTCCCCCATGGGAGATGGTCACACCAGAATTCATTCTTCATTTCTCCATTTAGGATTATGGGCATGTATGTACATGTGCCTGGCGTGATTTGAAGCTGCCAGGTCTAGTCTTTGAGCCACATGGTTGATCGTGTGGGATCTATCCAGCCATCTTGACCACCGTACCATTGGGCTGGCCCTAGTTTAAGGCTGTTCTACTGCTTCCTGTTTACTGTACTTAACTTTAGGTGGAGACTGAAGGCAACACGGAACATTTTGAGCATTCTGAGGACTCCTATCAGTAGTACTTTCTTTCTTTTTTAGCATTTATTTAATATTTATTTATCTGTTGGGTTGTCAGAAAAGTCATGATATACTTTTTGTATAGAAAAACATGTCATAACTTTTCTGATGACCCAATATTTATTTGTTGTGATTTTCAAGCCACTGGGTCCAGGACATGAACCATAGCCAACCATGTGGAATTCCAACATCTTAATCAGTATGCCACCTGCTGGCTCACTCCATCAGCATTTCTATACCAACATATCCCTCTTACTCACAAAGTCTGGTCTGGCTTCATACCCCATCCTTCTACCCTAATGGTATAAGAGACCTGGCAATGAAGAATAGTGTGGTTGAGATACAGGGATTATCTGGATTATTCCTGGGGGCTGATCAGAGACTTTAAGGGAGCCCAAGGTGAGGAACTCCCAAAGGTGTGACCAATTTGGCTTCTCTTGACTTTGCCCACAAGACAGCCATTTCACTCTCATTTATTGTGGTCACTGTTCTCTTTTTGAGTTTTCTCAACAATTAGCCCTCTTTTTCCTAACTGAAATGAGTACAATTTGACTCTGTAAGCAAGGTCACCTGCACTGTCACCAATCACCAATTCTCCCCTTGTGAACAGATGGGCTTCCTCATGCCATCTCCTTCAGCCCGGAAGAGGAAGAGGAAGTGGAGGCTGGGGGCCCAGCTGAGTTCACGTGCTTCTCAGAAGACCTGGTGGCAGACCAGCTGACCTACATGGACGCGGTAAGTCTTCCCCTTGTGAGCTGTAGTAGACGAGCTTCCACTTGGAACAGGGGTGTGGCGGTCCTGGTGGGCCAGAGCAGTCATGGGCGGGTAATGTGACTAAGTCTTTGCAGTCCTTGAGAGAAGCTGTGCTGTTTGGTCACAGTTAAGATGTGACTTGAATCAATCTTCTGAATAATTCAGGCCTAAGCTCTTCTTGCAATTCTGGGTAAAGTTGCTTTTTACTTGGAGCTCAAGGCACAGAGGGAAACAAGAATTCTAATCCTGGTGAAACAAAATCTCCCTCATTCCACGAGCATTTCTCTCCCTTTGGACTCATAAATATTTCAAGATCTGAACTGTTTATTTGGAGGATTGTAAAGGGGTCAAAGTGTAAGTCAGGATAAAATAAACCCACTGAATCCATATGTGACTGTAGCTGGGAGCTCATTTCCATTATGTTTCCAGGGCTTTAACGTTTGGATGTTTTCATTAGCTGTGTATATTTGAGTCTGTCAGTTACATCTCACAGCTTAATGTTGGATGGTAACTATCAGTTAAAGAAAAGGGGACTATTAGGAATTATCACAATGATTTTAGCTCTTCTATAATTCCTGTTTCTAGGAAAGCAGAATAGAAAGTGGCTAAGTTTCCAGCTAAAAGTATACAAATAAGTATGCTTAAGTCAGAGAGCCTATGTAAAGTAAATCCCAGTGCTCTTCCCTTCATACATACCTCCTCACATCATATGTTGAATTCTTATACAACAGGAGTCTGATTCGTTCAACAATTTTTTTATTTTTCTTTTTGGTTCCACAACTAATAGTGTAGGAGAAACATAGAAAACCTCGCTCATTATTGCTTTTAAGAAAAAGACCTGGAGACTAGGCTTGTCCTGTTTCTTCCTTTTATTGTCTAATGTTGAATTGGTTTTCCTTTTGCATACTTCTTATTCTCTTCAGTATATATATATATATATATATATATA